GTACATAGGGACTTAGAGCTGGGCTTCAATGGCTCATGGACCTAGGAGGGGCAAAGTTGAGATGTGCTTGTGGGGGGAAGAGATGGCGGCTTCCCATGCTACACCTGCTCTAAGCAGATCCCATAAATCTCTAAGGCTGATATTCTGCACCTTTCACAGAGTCCCAAACCAAACAGGTTTTGCTTAGGTACTAGTGTGGAAGTTGTCTATTTTGGTCTGGCTGAACAAGTCTGTTCAGTACTTGGCTATTCTCACTGGCATCTTCTTGTATTGGAAACTTCCCTCCCAGATTCTGACAGCTCTGAGGATGAGACCCCTGCAAAGCCTCCAGTCAAACCAGCTCCACCTGCAGCCAAGAAGCCTCCTGCTGTGGCAAAGAAAGCCCAGAGCAGCTCTGACTCAGATAGCAGCTCTGAGGAAGAGAAGAAAGCCCCTCCAGCTAAGCCAGCCAGCAAGACAGCTAAGCCAGGGTCCAAACCCTGCACCCTGGGCCCCAAAGACAGCAGCTCAGATTCTGACAGCTCAAGCAGTGAGGAGGAGCAGAGCAAACCAGCAGTGAAACCAGCCAGCAAATCACCAGGGGGCACTAAAGCTGCTGCAGGGAAGAAAGCAACTGCCGCTACCAGTAGCAGCAGCTCGTCTGACAGTTCCAGTGATGATGACGAGAAGCCCAGAACAGCAGGGACTCCAGTCGCCGGGTTGAAGTCAGGGAATGGGGCACAGAACAGCTCCAGCTTGGTGAAAGAGAAACCAAAGGCTTCATCCACACCTGCAGCCAAATCGCCGGCTACAAAGAAGCCAGAGCCCAAGCCAGCTGGTGGCAGTGAGAGTAGCTCCGAGAGCTCCAGCGAGGAGAAGGGAAAAGCAAATGGAGGTAATCTGTGCCAGCCAGGAAGGGTGTCTGTCAGGCAGTGGGTGTTGGAGGGCAGAGCTTATGTGGAGCCGTCTTCCAGAAGCGGTTTCCTAAACAAAACTCTGCACGTAACCAGCAGCACCTCCACACACTAGAGGATGGTTGCCCAAGAGTTCCTTATCCAGTGCTGCTGCTCTAGATTGGCCATTAGTGGAGTGTCTGTCATTGTTCCTGTACCACCCTACTCCAGACAGCACATGCTCACAGTGCCAGCATACCTCAGTCTGACTTGTGTCCCAGTGGAGAGAGACGCTGCTCCCCTTCCCCAGGTGGAGGCTGGTCCCATTGAAGTCTAACTGCTATTGTTTTTAGCAGGTTCGATTAAGAAGAAGCGGAAGAGCGAAGATGACCAGGAATTGGAGACACCAGACAGTAAGAAGATTAAGACCAAGACCAGAACGCCACACTCATTTCCCAAGGTGAAGCAGGTGAGTGAGGAGAAACGTGCTGAATCTTTCTTGTCTCTCAGTCCCAGAAATCTGCACTGCTTTCCCTGGTGGTCGAGGCTGCAGGAGATAGTCTCCCCCTCCTCAGCCAGCCTAAGTGCCCCTTATGTGGAGCCCACAGAAGATGCACATTGTGACCCCAGCATCTTTCTGGGTGAGGATGACTGTATAGACTCCCTCTGGATCCCCTCTGTACTGCCCTTACTGTCAAAGGGAAGGATCACAATTTCATGTGGCCTGGAAAACTGGACCAGGGAGCAACTAGAATTTCCCCCAGTTTAGTGTCCTGCATTGTTATGTGGGCCAGCCAAGAGAAGGCCATGTGCAGGTATTGACTTAAGGTGACCTATGTTTTTCTCTAACAGCCAGCTGTTCCATTCCGACGAGTAAGAGAGGAAGAGATCGAGGTGGATTCCCGTGTAGCTAACAACTCATTCGATGCAAAGGTAGAGACGAGTCCATCCAGAGCAACAAACTGGCATGTTTTGCCCCTAGAACGCAGGTCATCTGGGAAAGGGTTTTCATGGTGCTTGTGGGGAGCTCTCCAATCTGAATCTCTCCCACCAGGAGGCTCTACTGGGAAATACATGGGCTCTGGCTGTGAGGAGCTGGGTGAAAACTCCTTTAGCCCTTGGAAGTCATTACTGGGTAGTATACAAAGCAGGACGTAGTGTTTGCCATGTTGGCTGTTGAGTGCTGACCTGGCCCCCCCTCTTCCTTCTCTCACAGAAAGGAGCTGCAGGCGACTGGGGAGAAAAGGCCCACAACGTACTGAAATTCACCAAAGGCAAATCCTTCCGCCATGAGAAGACAAAGAAGAAAAGAGGCAGTTACTGCGGAGGTGCTATTTCTACCCAGGTCAATTCCATCAAGTTTGAAAGTGACTGAGCTGCAGTTGGCTTGGGAGTCCATACCCCATCTGTCCCCCAAAGCCAGCTGGATGGGCATGTGAACAGAATGGACATGGTAGACCCCAATCCTGCCTGGAACTTAATCCTCCCCGCTCTCTTGTGGGGAGAAGGTAGCCCTTGCCATAGAATGTGGAAGAGTGGCTCGATGCTCCCACGTTATTTCTGACTAATTCTGGCATAGCGCCTGGTAAGAGCCTTCTTAGAGCTGGTGACACCAGATCCTACCCGAGTGTCCTAATTTTGTACAGTTTTATTTTAAAAGGCTGGTGGTGCCATGGAGTTCAGGTTCCCGCCCACCTTGTAAAGCAAAGAAAATTTATATTTTCAATGAATCCGTTTCTTTCTTTTCTAGCCAGTTTAACTGTTGAGACCTGTGAAATTTAAAGTACTGTAGCTTGTTTGTGGCTAGGTCTGAGTGACCTGCGGTTACAGCTCCCTCGCTGTGCACCTCCAGCTTTACAAAGCACAGCTCTAGAGGGGCAGAGTTTCTTCTACTTCCCTCTCTTTAAGGCCCCCTCTTTCAGCGACTGTCTCTTCACCCAGGGCAGACCCTGCTGGTGCCATTAGGCAGGGTCGCTAGAGAAGCAAAGTGCTTTTCAGCCAAGAGCATGTTGCCAGCAGCGTGAGAAGCTCAGGGTTCAGGTTGCTAGGACTTCCCTCTCCCTCCTGCACCTTTGGCACTGATGTCAGAAGCTCAAAGCCCCAAACTCTGGGGGAGTTTCAGATGTGGTGTTCTTTCATAGGGAAGGCACAGGCTATGGAAGAAGTGGGGACACTCCTGGCTGCTTGGCCACTTTGGGGTTTGGAGAATCCCTTGGCCCAATAGAAAGGTTAAAGAGGCAGGACAGATAAAGCCTCTGCCCCCAGCCCCCTTCCTCACCTAGCTCTCCACTCCCTTAACTCAGGGATGTTCTGACATCAATGATTTCCCCAAGTCCTCTCTAGGAATCTGACTCCCCAACACATGCTTTGTCCTAGCCATGTGCAATGCAGCTGGTGGGAGGTTGAGATGAATGTAACACGATTTGCCTTAAACTTCTCCCCTTGGCTGGATCAGTTGCCCTTTTCCTGCCTGAGGAGCCCCTTTGCAGAAGTAAAATGCCTGTTGCCCTCTGTGCTTTAGTGTCTGAAAGACCTGGTGCCAGAATGGAGACAGCAAGCAGAAGTTAGTCCTGGCTTTAAATACAAGACAGGCAAGTTGCTGCAGCCTGATCTCCAGCATGGTTGAGAGCCTGAGGGCCAGGTAACCCAGGGCCTCATTTCCATCCTCCCTTTCCCTCCCAGCAGGATGGAGCCCTACAGATCTTAGACAGCTCTGCCCCCAGCGAAGGGCCCTGCTATGGTATGTGTGAGAAGCAGTGCCAGATAATTGAGTGTTGGAGGTGACTAACAAGCCACCCCCGTGTACATTAACTTACTGCAACTTGTTGGAAGGAGTATCCCAGCACCGCACCTTCATGCTTGCATAATAAGCCTCATCACTGGCTTCTTTCCATGCAGCAATGCACATGCTCAGGAAACCAGGGCTATTCTGGAGAGTTGGAGGGTGGGAAGAAAATACCCTCTGCCTTCCTGGGTAGGCTTTTGGAGCAGAGTCCCAGCTGGGACCTGTCAAATACCCTTCTCTGTCCTCCTCACCTGGCACGTGAATGACTGAACTGTCAACATTTTAAAGAGTTTTAAGTTTTGGGGGCGGGGGTTTGATGTGTGAGCACACAAGTGTCTCCTACAATAAAGAAGCTTGTGTTTGTAAGTTATGTGCATTTCACTGATGGGTTTTGACACTCGGAATGGGGGCGGGAAAAGGAGGGGGAAGCTATTTATCTGCGACAAGGTGCACCACCTTGTCTGAGGTGTGGTCAATAGGTCTAACTGCATTTATCTGGATTATGTAGTGGTTAGTCAGCCTCTAATAGCAGTGTTCTTACCCAAAGGTGGCACTGGACAATGTGAGATAAGGGATGGCCCATGCAGCTGAGAGCTAAGGAAAATAGGTGAGTGGAGGATATCAAGAACAGAAGGATGGGAAAGAATAGAAATGTGTAGGAGTATGCTCTTTGCAGGAATATGAACAGGTGTAATGAGAGTGCACAAGAAGCCTGGGCGCTGGTGAGTGGAGTGAGGAGCCCCTGTGCTATTTGTCTTTACGTAGTGCTGGGACCCCCATTCATGTTCCTGGAGCCCATGGTGCTAGGTGCTGTACAAAGAACAAAAAGGCAGCCCCTGCCCCCAGGGGCTTACTGTCTAAGTAATGCAGGTTATGTCAACGGATCTGGTCAGATACTGGTTCTAACTAACCTTTTATGCAGCGGTGACGTCTCTCTGCTAAATCTGGCTTCCTATGTGCCGCAGTGGAGCAAAACCTGTGTGCAAAGAACATAATGGGGGAAAAAATCCTTAGGTAAATACCCATGTAAAGAAGTTGTCTGCGTGCTTCACCTGCTATCTGAACACATGTGCAGGGAAGAGAAGTTCTTATGCCTGCATTAATTCAAGGGACTGACCAAGGTCTTATGTACTGTGGGTTTGCTGTGCAACAAAAAAGCATCACTACAAGAAGTGCTGCCAGGTGGTGGTGATGGCAACCTTCCCTGTAAAGCAGCAATTTTCAATATACTGGGCATGTCACAAACATGCTGCTTGCGACTTTCTCTATTCCCAGGGCAGGGGTGGTGAGGGCTGGGCAGTGACTTAGGCAGAATGGGGCTCTGTGGCTGCTGAGACAAGAGTGGGATCAGAAAGGGCTGAAGCAGCTCCTGAGGAGCAGGTAGGAAACAGGGTGGTCAGGCTAGGGCCAGGCGTAGTGACCCATGGTAAGAGACATGAGCCACCAGGACCTACCTTCCCAGCCTGGAGCCACCCCCACTGCCAAGTCTCAGTACCTCTCCTTGCTCCCCCTCCTATCTGACACCCCAACTGTCCCCTGCTCCCCATTATAGTGCAGCCACCTCTACATCCCCTCTGCTCTAGCCTCCCTGTACTCCCCATTCAGAGCAGCCAGCCTGACTTCACCCCTGCTGCCCTTGACTCTCCCATTGGGCACAGGCTCTGGCCTGGTGGCTGCATCACTTAGCAGCTCCCTGTGATGGAAGTGTTGGTGCAGGGCACCTGTTTGTGCCCTCCCTCTGGGGCTAAGCTGGCCATACTCAGTCCCATCTGGGGCAGGGGAGCAGGGCAGCCAGTAAGCCCCCTCAGTGACCCTCTCCCTTTGTCCACAGTCCAGAAATGGATGTATGGGGGCCTGGACACCAGTCTTCCTAAGGAATGTGGCCTGGGTCCAAAGTTCCCTGTAATCTGCATGCACATCGTGTCCACTTTTGTCTGGTCACCTATGCAGTTGTAGTGTGCTATAGAGGGGTGAAAACACTATCTACTATAGGATAACTACAGGTGTTTTCTTCTCACTTGTAGCCACACCGCAGTGAGTGAGTCCTCGGTAAGACCACATTGGGTGGTGAGGTTAAGGGAATTGGTAAGCCATTTTGGGGTAACACACTTCTAGAGCCCTTTACCTCTGCAGCAGGTTCAGCCCTCTCACATCTCTTAATTTTGGTGTGAAGTCATTAGGGGAGCTGGTCCAATAACACCAGCTGAAGGGCCAGCAGTACATGTCATGTACTGCAATGCCTGGAGATCAGTACCAGGTCAAGCTGAACACATGCAAGACAGCCTTGATGCAGAGGGGAAGAGGGTACTGCTAATTCATCTGTGACAGGTATGGCAATTTCTTGCGATATCTTAGACAAACCTTATTGAACTATGTTTCAGTATCCTAGGAGCTCATTGCATTAAAACTGCAAATGTTTCTTTGAGGTTGTGTGTAACTTGCTTAGGAGCCATGATTAATGCAAGCCTTGGGCAGTGCTACCGGCTGTAAAGGACTCTCTTAAACAATGGGCTAAAGTAAAGAATAAACTGTTAGTTGTTAGGAAATACTTGGGAAGAGGGGAATGTAAAGGTCTAGAGGAGGGCATGATCTTCTAAAGCTTCACCCTTGGGGTGGGACCTTGGTCTAGGAAGTATCTACTCCCTGGAACAAGAGGCCCAAACTGCATAGAGGAGTAACTTCCAGCTTGTAGTGACAGGAAGACACTGTGTGGGGTTTGAAAGACATTCACTGCCACAGCACTTGTTGGGGATGATCTCTGGTGAGCTTATTAGCATGTGTGTAGGTTTTGATTGTTTTCTCTGTAATGCTTTTACAATAAACTCAAATAACTAGAAAGCTGTGTGGTAACTTAACTGTGTCAATGACACAATTAGCTGACTCTGCTTAGGCAGTCTGACTTTGTTGAGGAGCTCACTGTTTGGCAGGGAGCAGTGCAACCTGAAAATACCCTGTTCAGGAGGGGAAGAAAGGTGGGACTTCACCCAAGAGAGGTGATGGTTGGAGAGCCAGAAGACTAAGTGCCTTGGCTGGAGCATAGAAGGGAAATGCAGGTGCCCTGAACTGTAACAGTATCCCTGGCTGGAGGTTTTTGCCCACACCCTTGAGGCACGTTTGGACTCAATGCTTTTTGATCACCAAAAAGCCATCAGTGTGGGGGAAAACTCCACCACTTGCATGCGTGTAGGGTGACCAGATGTCCCGATTTTATAGGGACAGTCCTGATTTTTGGGTCTTTTTCTTATATAGGCTCCTATTACCCCCCACCCCTGTCCCGATTTTTCACACTTGGTGTCTGGTCACCCTACACGCGTGGCTGGCTGGCTGGAACGCTGCTCTGTTGTAGAGGCTGCAGAATTTAGCCACTTGTATATGCATGTTGTGATCAGTCTTGTTCAGTGCACCTAAGAGTGGAGCCACACCCCCTTCAGGAGCACATCGGTTTACAGAAGGAAGCAGCCTGTCTACTAAGTTGTGTACAGTGTAGTGCATTTAGACCCTAGCTTTGCCCTGGTTTCCTGGGGAGCAGAGAACAGTTCTATTTAAAAATCTTTAGTGGCTGTCCCTAATTCTGGAGCTATGCGGGTGGGTGGGTGCAGGACTGGCCTAAGCAGAGCAGGGATCAACTCTACCAGCGCGTGGCCCCTACTGGTGCCCTACCCCGTATCCCCGCCCATGGCCGGAGC